TCGACATTGATATCGAAAAAGCTCGCAATGGAATGCCTCCCGTGGAGCTTGAAGCCATCGTGTCGAATGGAAACTGCACAGATTATTGCGTCGATGACATCTCCATATTAAGGTCAAAGAAATTTGTATATGAATGTCTTCCCCTTGAACTGGACGTGATGTTGCCATACGAATTGTTCGTGGACCCACCTATGTACATATCGTAAGGAGTTGCGGATGAATGTCTCCACATTGAAGTTGATGTGACAGCACCATGATGCGGATTTCCCATTATGGCGTTAAAATCATTATACATTACTGTAGTCGGGCTGTCAACTTGATCAACTTATTCAGCCAGCCCATAGTGGGAGCTTAATGATTGACCCCGAACAGCACGCACTTGAACAAACTTTGCATACATCTCAATATCGCCGTCTGAATAATTACTTTGAGAATCAGCCATCATTTCAACATCATCATTGTTCGATAGTTCGAACGTTGTATAAGTTAATAGCAACAATGATGTTGGAAATCTGTACTGCAACGATGACATTCTTCTACTACTTCCAACATGAACCTTCCTCGAAATCTTCGTTATCAGCTCCTCAGGAGTTATGTTTCTCTTGAATGATATTTTAACACGCTCATTTGATACGAAAACAACACCGGTTTCATCTTCTCGAATGTCTCCATCATAATAAACAATAGCTGAAAGTCGCGTCATTCTTAGAGTTTAAAAGTGCGACAATATTATATCTGCAAAAAAACAACTGAAACAAACCTGATTAAATAAATAATATATGAACGAAAATATAACAAAATAAATTTTTTACACATAAACGTAAATAATTTAAATAATAAAATTTTATATTATTACCTGCACTGCAAAAATATTTCGACGTATGCTCCCGCTTTCCCCTTGAACTGGCACAGAAATTAATTGAAAACAATTACTATAATATTTTTCAAATAATCATAATAAACAATAAGTATAATAAAAAAATATTATAACAAAGTTACCTTATAACGAAAGATCGAACGAACATCTGAATTAAATATAAGAGGATTGTCGGGTGTTATTTACTAGTTGAAAGGATTGTTGTATTAATTTCTAAGTTGAGAGGGAATTGTGAGGGAGTTTACGGGAAGAGGGCTATTTATAGCCGATAAAGGATGCTTTAAAGTCGAGAGGTCCGGGTAAATAATGGAAGGCGTGCCCTAGGGGCTGCGCTTTAGAGACATATGTCCATGTCATCATAAGCCGTGCTGTAGGGGGCGCACCTTACCCACATGGTGCCAGATCGTCGTAAAACGCGCTGTAAGGGGCGCGTCTTACTGCAAAAGGTTTTAGATCGAAAAAAATAGTCTGAAGGGTGTCTGACAGGAAAAATTATAAGGTATATGTGATATTTCGGGAAAAACGCCGATTTTTCTATGTTTAGTTGTGCCAGATCATGGTCACCGGTATGGTGACTGTCAGGGCATGGTGGGCATTATTGGTGTTGACAATTAGTGTAGTGGAGATGGCCATGACAGAGAAGTATGGGTGGTTACTGCAGCAGTTGGAGGATGGGTTGGAGCAGGGCATGGAGACTTGAAACGGGTCGGGTCTTGTGGGCTTGAACCGGGTCGAGTGCTGGACCAAATTCAGGTTTGGTCTGCTGATTTTCTGGGCCTCGGGTTGGGCTGAAAATTGGTGATTATGAAAGAATCTCGTGTGCATTAAATACAATGAATAGAGTGAAGAATCATGCTAGCAAAACTGGAGCTTTACTCGAACCTTTTAACTCACCAATGAGGTGGTAACCCATGGAATTTCAATCCTGATCTCTGTATAGATTTTTAAGACTATTATGATACAATCTTTCATGAACCTCGTGAATCTTCAAATCTTTTTGCCAATGTGAACGAATCACTTGAAACTTGAAACTTGAAGTGAAGAGAAGTATGTCTATAAATCAATCAATTTCTATCATAATTTGTATAAATAGATCAATTATTTTTAAATTATTTTTAATAACATAATATTAATAATAATTTACTCTTTGTTACATGTAAAGTATAAGATTTATGGCGATAAATCGTATCTGTGAGATTAATGCATAAAAAATTCAACAATATCTCTATATCCGTCATTGTCGGGAGTAATTATAAAGATACTATTTGTTCAAATATTTTTATTTTTTTAAATCATTAATAATATAAATACTCTATGGACATAATTAGATTAATCAAATTCTTAAATAATATTTTAATTTATCACGTATGTAATTCAATGAATTATGTTTGTGGATGAGCTTACTCGTGGAGTTGTCGGCAGTCGGCACCTACACAAATTTCTTACTATATGTAGCAATGTTTTTGTAGATGCGAATTAATCTTGTACTTGAATAAAAACAAAGTCGTTTGTTTTTTGTGAGTGAAAGGAATTTTAGAAAATATCACGTGTTCTTAAAAATATGTGAAGCATATACAATTTATCAAATGAGTAAACAAAATAATGGGGGGGGAATAACAATATTTATCCTAAGCCATTTATTTAGTGTAATACCTGATCAAAGTATAAATTTATGGACTAAATTATAATTTTTAAAAGATATAATTTTGTCCCGTAAATGTATAGTTTACCCCCAAAAAAATGATATTTTCATACCATTCAGATTTTTCGTACGAAATTTGTATTAAAAGCTATAAAACGATAAAGTTCAAAAAAAATTCGGATAATCGAATTTTAATTTTATTTTTTGAAAAACAAAGAGTATGCAAAAATTTTAATTTTTTTCTTAACACATTAATCTAAATTTAACCAATTTTTCCAAAATAATGGGAATGTACTTGGTCTTATGAGGGCTTAGTGAATCCGTCACTTTGAGAAAACACAATGTATATGAGGAATAACAATATTTATTCTACGCCTTATACACAAGTTATAAAATGTCATTAAATTTTTAAAATAATTATTTAAATATGAAATTTTTACAAATTATAAAATATTTATTAATTTTTTATTTTTATTAGATAATAAATATTGCATCGTTAATATTATTAATTAAATGATGTAACACACTAAAATTACTAGTAATATCTTATTTAATATTTTAATTGTAATTAAAGTCTTATTTTAATATTTTTATTAATAATTTTAATAAAAATACAAACATATAAAATATAAAAATTTATTCTTTACTTTTAAAAACTATAAAAACAAATTTTAAAATTATAGTTTTATAATTTTTTAAAAAGTCATTAAATTCTTTGGTATATAAATGTAAAACTTACTAAAATCTCTTAAGTTGTTCTCCATTTCTCATATATCATAATCTTAGTCTTTATTATCAATATGTTAGTATTTTGATATCACAATACGAACATTTCAAATAAAAACTCATTTAACTGTATATAATTCTAATTTATCTGAGTTTGATTTGATGGATTTTTGCAAACCTAAAACATAGTTTAATATAGGACCATTAATATTTTTTTACAAAAGTATACAAAATATTGAAATATTTTAATAAAAATATAAAAATAAATAAATGTTGATTAGCTTGTTTAATTAGTTTCAACAAAAGTGTATAACAAAATTTGATATCAGTGATGAACAATAGTAATCAAAGTTAAAATTGGTATACATCACAGGTAATTTTATTTAATTTTCTTCACAAGCACAATGTCATATTAAATATTTCATGAAAATAATTATACTATAAACAAGATAATATACATTAAAATATTAATTTATATAAATTTATGAATATATTAGCAATCTTATTCTTCATTTAATAATTAATTTATTCAATATCTAAACATGATAATTTTTTTATAACGAATCCAATATTATGATAATATAAAAAATTATTAATTAATTAATTAAATAAAATTTTATTACTATTTTGATCAAAATTGGGTTGTGTTGAATTATATTATATTTTTACCATTTTAAAAATTCTTGTCTTTATCTGTATTTATAATAGTGTTCCATAATGATAAGGCCATTATTTAACGAAACTCTCACAGGTATTTCACACAATTGTTTTGGTGAAAATATTTTCAAAAGCTTTAAGAATAAATTAATAAAATAAAATAACATTTTTATTGTTTAATATCATTCTAATTATGTATCTATTATGGACTCCTGAAGTAAACCAACTGAAAGCAAACAATAGAAAGTACTGCAAGAGCAGTAGACTGATTTAAAGTTTGTACTATTTTGTCGTCTGGACATGAATGTTTTTAACCTATTTATTAATTTTTTAATAAAGATTAATTGTTTAAAAGAAAAGTTCGGTGATTAAAGAAATGTTACAAAAATATAAAAAACATTTTATTTATAATTTTGTGATCAAATGATATATTACCCATTAAATGTGTCACATTATCCCAATTAATAATAATGATGACATAATACTCATTTTATAGCAATATCAAAAAGCTTAATTCATATTTTATAACTTTGAAAGTTAGTAATAAAAAATTATCTTAAAATAATTTAGGGTAAAATATACAAATGATCACTGGACTATAGACTGTTGCTTTGTTGAGTCCCATGAGTATTGAAAGTTACAAAATAGTCATTTGACAATAGGGAATTACTTTGTTGTGCCTATCAACTATTATTATATCCCAAAATTGTTTAAATTGTATAGTTGTTTGAGATTACAAGAACATTTTATATATCCAAAAAAATAAGTTAACATACAACTCAAATGTCAGTTAAATTTTTAACTGAAAAGGATGAGTTTAAAACATATAAATAGTCAAGATACCATTTTGTAACTTATAATAGTCGATGGACTCAATAAATCAATACCTTATAGTTGGGGACTATTTATAACTTTCAATATACGATTAATTCAACAAAGCATACTTATTATGATGGGACAATTTGTATACTTTTACTCAATAATTTAGTGATATTTTAAATTTATATATAAATTATTTCGTTCAACATCAAATTATTGTACTTTACTTGCATTACCCCTCTTCTGTTTTTATTTAGAATTTGAGCTAGACAATGCTTGCTCAAAGTTTACAGTACAGGGATACATACAGTAGGAGAGAGATCGAGAGATCTCCACCATTTAACGCTTAATTATCAGCAATAATCTCTCATTTTGTTGCTTCCGATAATTTCAGCTTTGAATATTGGCTGTATTTCTTAAAGAAGCAAACCAACTTTTCCATGGGAAACAAGCTGTCCTTGACGACATCGATCTCTCTGAATTTGTTCTTCCATTTGTGGATCAAAGGGTATTTGTGAGAGTCGAGAAATCGAACGCCGGCCACTTGGTCAATGGCCTCCAACCATATAGCTATCCAGCCGAAGGCGATGTCCAAGAACCCTAACCTCTCTCCTCCGAAGTATTTCTTTCCTTTCAGCATCCCTTCAAGCACTTCCATGGCCTCTGATACTTTTTTTATCTCTTTCTTTAGCTGCTCTCCTTCCACATATAACGCTCTCTTTGAACCTTCAAGTATCTATTGTGCTCAGGGACACAGACACAAGAATTTATGTAAAGGGTGTGAAATTAGATAATAAATAGAATATACAAAGAAAATACTTGAAATATAAGGGAATTTAAACTTTTTAAGAGGTGCAATCGCACCCCAAGGCCCTAACACTTCCCTCAGTCCATCCTGCAACAAAAAAGAAAGACAAAGAAAGTGAGTTATACATACCATTTGGTCAATGTAGGGAGCCCAATATCTAGCCATTGCCCTGTCATAAGGATCAGTGGGCAAAATGGGATTTTGTTTCCAAGTCTCATCAATGTACTCAATGATGAAAAGAGATTCAGCAATTGGTTTGCCATGATGAAGCAGCACTGGTACTTTCTTGTGCACAGGGTTACAGTCCAGAAGGAGAGAGCTCTTGCTGTTTATTTTTTCTTCCACGTATTCATATTGGATTCCTTTCAACTTCAAAACCCAGGTCACCCTGTGAACATATGGGCTGAACCATGCACCCACCAGCTTCACCTCCTCCTCATTTTCACCAATTTCACCCATCGCCTTATGATTCTCCTGCTTCCTACTCATCCAAGGTTTACTTAAATACTGGACTCCCAAGGAAAAATTCTCACCGCAACTCTTCAAGGTTTTAGCGCAATTCATTTTAGTCCTTTTTGTGCATAATTACCTTAAATCTTTGTAATTTCGGCCCTTAATTTTTTGTTAATGTAACTTGGTCCATGTTTGGTGTTAATTATCTCTTTAATATTTTTTTGCCTTTGATTTTAAATTATTTATGCCTTGCATTTTAATTTTTAAATTTAATATTTTTTATTTCATGACTAATGTTCACTGAATAATTTTTTGTCCATGAAAATTTTAATTAATTATGCATGATAGCCACATAAAACACGGCTCAATTGATTTCATACTTGGACTAATGTAAATGTTTGATTATTTTAGATCTTCAAGTAAAGGTTGTCCTAATCCAACTTATAGTCTTATCCTGATAATTTAAAATAAGAAAATACTCTCATGTGTAATTAAATAAAAATGATGACACATTAACATTGATCAGGAGAATGGAAAAACTCTTATCGAGAATAGACTGTTTGATCCTATTTGAAGGTCAGTTTTAGTATTTTTAAATAATTGAATGTACTTTGTCCATCTTAATTGGATAGGTAGTTTTAATTAATTTGAGTTTTTGTTGCATGATTTCAATTTGAATTAAGAATAGTGCTAGGTCCTAAGGAAAACATCGATATTTATTCTTTAAGAATCAGAAATTGCCACTCTACTTCTTATAAGAGGGCATTTATCCTCGATCAAAAGTGTCGAGATGACATCTTTTTACCTTGGAAGCCTGAAATTCTAGGAGAAAAATATCGATATTTCTCCACTTTGGTTGGAAAGAGATATCATAGTTCTATCTTGTATTAGAAGGTTATCTCTTCGATCGAAAGCCCCAAATCTTGACTATTTTTTAATACCCAAAATTTGGCTAGTAACCAAAATGAAATTTTAATTAATTATGCATGATAGCCACATAAAACACGGCTCAATTGATTTCATACTTGGACTAATGTAAATGTTTGATTATTTTAGATCTTCAAGTAAAGGTTGTCCTAATCCAACTTATAGTCTTATCCTGATAATTTAAAATAAGAAAATACTCTCATGTGTAATTAAATAAAAATGATGACACATTAACATTGATCAGGAGAATGGAAAAACTCTTATCGAGAATAGACTGTTTGATCCTATTTGAAGGTCAGTTTTAGTATTTTTAAATAATTGAATGTCCTTTGTCCATCTTAATTGGATAGGTAGTTTTAATTAATTTGAGTTTTTGTTGCATGATTTCAATTTGAATTAAGAATAGTGCTAGGTCCTAAGGAAAACATCGATATTTATTCTTTAAGAATCAGAAATTGCCACTCTACTTCTTATAAGAGGGCATTTATCCTCGATCAAAAGTGTCGAGATGACATCTTTTTACCTTGGAAGCCTGAAATTCTAGGAGAAAAATATCGATATTTCTCCACTTTGGTTGGAAAGAGATATCATAGTTCTATCTTGTATTAGAAGGTTATCTCTCTTCGATCGAAAGCCCCAAATCTTGACTATTTTTTAATACCCAAAATTTTGGCTAGTAACCAAAATGAAATTTTAATTAATTATGCATGATAGCCACATAAAACACGGCTCAATTGATTTCATACTTGGACTAATGTAAATGTTTGATTATTTTAGATCTTCAAGTAAAGGTTGTCCTAATCCAACTTATAGTCTTATCTTGATAATTTAAAATAAGAAAATACTCTCATGTGTAATTAAATAAAAATGATGACACATTAACATTGATCAGGAGAATGGAAAAACTCTTATCGAGAATAGACTGTTGATCCTATTTGAAGGTCAGTTTTAGTATTTTTAAATAATTGAATGTCCTTTGTCCATCTTAATTGGATAGGTAGTTTTAATTAATTTGAGTTTTTGTTGCATGATTTCAATTTGAATTAAGAATAGTGCTAGGTCCTAAGGAAAACATCGATATTTATTCTTTAAGAATCAGAAATTGCCACTCTACTTCTTATAAGAGGGCATTTATCCTCGATCAAAAGTGTCGAGATGACATCTTTTTACCTTGGAAGCCTGAAATTCTAGGAGAAAAATATCGATATTTCTCCACTTTGGTTGGAAAGAGATATCATAGTTCTATCTTGTATTAGAAGGTTATCTCTCTTCGATCGAAAGCCCCAAATCTTGACTATTTTTTAATACCCAAAATTTTGGCTAGTAACCAAAATGAAATTTTAATTAATTATGCATGATAGCCACATAAAACACGGCTCAATTGATTTCATACTTGGACTAATGTAAATGTTTGATTATTTTAGATCTTCAAGTAAAGGTTGTCCTAATCCAACTTATAGTCTTATCCTGATAATTTAAAATAAGAAAATACTCTCATGTGTAATTAAATAAAAATGATGACACATTAACATTGATCAGGAGAATGGAAAAACTCTTATCGAGAATAGACTGTTTGATCCTATTTGAAGGTCAGTTTTAGTATTTTTAAATAATTGAATGTCCTTTGTCCATCTTAATTGGATAGGTAGTTTTAATTATTTGAGTTTTTGTTGCATGATTTCAATTTGAATTAAGAATAGTGCTAGGTCCTAAGGAAAACATCGATATTTATTCTTTAAGAATCAGAAATTGCCACTCTACTTCTTATAAGAGGGCATTTATCCTCGATCAAAAGTGTCGAGATGACATCTTTTTACCTTGGAAGCCTGAAATTCTAGGAGAAAAATATCGATATTTCTCCACTTTGGTGGAAAGAGATATCATAGTTCTATCTTGTATTAGAAGGTTATCTCTCTTCGATCGAAAGCCCCAAATCTTGACTATTTTTAATACCCAAATTTGGCTAGTAACCAAAATGAAATTTTAATTAATTATGCATGATAGCCACATAAAACACGGCTCAATTGATTTCATACTTGGACTAATGTAAATGTTTGATTATTTTAGATCTTCAAGTAAAGGTTGTCCTAATCCAACTTATAGTCTTATCCTGATAATTTAAAATAAGAAAATACTCTCATGTGTAATTAAATAAAAATGATGACACATTAACATTGATCAGGAGAATGGAAAAACTCTTATCGAGAATAGACTGTTTGATCCTATTTGAAGGTCAGTTTTAGTATTTTTAAATAATTGAATGTCCTTTGTCCATCTTAATTGGATAGGTAGTTTTAATTAATTTGAGTTTTTGTTGCATGATTTCAATTTGAATTAAGAATAGTGCTAGGTCCTAAGGAAAACATCGATATTTATTCTTTAAGAATCAGAAATTGCCACTCTACTTCTTATAAGAGGGCATTTATCCTCGATCAAAAGTGTCGAGATGACATCTTTTTACCTTGGAAGCCTGAAATTCTAGGAGAAAAATATCGATATTTCTCCACTTTGGTTGGAAAGAGATATCATAGTTCTATCTTGTATTAGAAGGTTATCTCTCTTCGATCGAAAGCCCCAAATCTTGACTATTTTTTATACCCAAAATTTTGGCTAGTAACCAAAATGAAATTTTAATTAATTATGCATGATAGCCACATAAAACACGGCTCAATTGATTTCATACTTGGACTAATGTAAATGTTTGATTATTTTAGATCTTCAAGTAAAGGTTGTCCTAATCCAACTTATAGTCTTATCTTGATAATTTAAAATAAGAAAATACTCTCATGTGTAATTAAATAAAAATGATGACACATTAACATTGATCAGGAGAATGGAAAAACTCTTATCGAGAATAGACTGTTTGATCCTATTTGAAGGTCAGTTTTAGTATTTTTAAATAATTGAATGTCCTTTGTCCATCTTAATTGGATAGGTAGTTTTAATTAATTTGAGTTTTTGTTGCATGATTTCAATTTGAATTAAGAATAGTGCTAGGTCCTAAGGAAAACATCGATATTTATTCTTTAAGAATCAGAAATTGCCACTCTACTTCTTATAAGAGGGCATTTATCCTCGATCAAAGTGTCGAGATGACATCTTTTTACCTTGGAAGCCTGAAATTCTAGGAGAAAAATATCGATATTTCTCCACTTTGGTTGGAAAGAGATATCATAGTTCTATCTTGTATTAGAAGGTTATCTCTCTTCGATCGAAAGCCCCAAATCTTGACTATTTTTTAATACCCAAAATTTTGGCTAGTAACCAAAATGAAATTTTAATTAATTATGCATGATAGCCACATAAAACACGGCTCAATTGATTTCATACTTGGACTAATGTAAATGTTTGATTATTTTAGATCTTCAAGTAAAGGTTGTCCTAATCCAACTTATAGTCTTATCCTGATAATTTAAAATAAGAAAATACTCTCATGTGTAATTAAATAAAAATGATGACACATTAACATTGATCAGGAGAATGGAAAAACTCTTATCGAGAATAGACTGTTTGATCCTATTTGAAGGTCAGTTTTAGTATTTTTAAATAATTGAATGTCCTTTGTCCATCTTAATTGGATAGGTAGTTTTAATTAATTTGAGTTTTTGTTGCATGATTTCAATTTGAATTAAGAATAGTGCTAGGTCCTAAGGAAAACATCGATATTTATTCTTTAAGAATCAGAAATTGCCACTCTACTTCTTATAAGAGGGCATTTATCCTCGATCAAAAGTGTCGAGATGACATCTTTTTACCTTGGAAGCCTGAAATTCTAGGAGAAAAATATCGATATTTCTCCACTTTGGTTGGAAAGAGATATCATAGTTCTATCTTGTATTAGAAGGTTATCTCTCTTCGATCGAAAGCCCCAAATCTTGACTATTTTTTAATACCCAAAATTTTGGCTAGTAACCAAAATGAAATTTTTGAAAGTTTAATGGTCAAAGTATAAATTTGGAAAAGTTTAAGGACTAAAATGTTAATTTTCTCAAAAAAATATTTTATCATGTAAATGAATAGTTATCCCCAAGAAAGATATTTTTCTTTTAATTGTATTTTTCGTACGAATTTTGTATAAAAAG